TTCATAGTTAATGTTAACCAAATCATTTGAATCAGCTAATTCGTTGTAGGTAACACTGTCTAATTGAACTCTTTGAGAAAATTTCAAACTTTCACAACAAACTAACACTGGAATGTTCTTTCTCTTTGCACTCATAGCTAACATGGCAGTACCCACTCTGGAATATAGGAAACCATTGGATAAAATCGAATGTGCGCCTAGGAAGACATAATCAACATTCATATTGAAGATTGCATCTAAACTGGTGATTAAAGCATATGTAACATTAACACCCAAGGATCTTAAGAAAGTGGCCATCTTTCTACCTTCGAATAATGGTCTAGAATCGACAACAATAACGTGGATATCTTTTTTCAATTCAACAGCATTGTGAACCAACAAATCGGTCAAGACTTTAGATGCACCATAAGTTACAATTGTAGTGCCATTTTCGATATGTTGGGAAGCATTATCTATAATCAATTGGTCTGCTAATTCAATCTTTTCACGAGAGAATTGGGCAATCTTCTCACATAATTCCTGTTTAGCCTTCTTATCAGAAGTAGATGGATCAATCAGAGAAATTTCTTGTTTCAACCATCTGATTGCATTACCCATTGTGACACTTAAAGGTCTGGCCTTTTTCAATATATCAATTTGGTGAGATAGATAATTGGTTAAATTACGGGACAAAGTAGTACCTGTTGGAGTTTGGTAGTCTTGGATGACAATTTGAAAAGCTTCCAACATAGCTATACAACGTGGGATTGACCCAACAATTTTATATTGCATGACAGCTAATGTTAACTGGATGATTGCAGGATGGATTAAATCTTTATTTACTAATAATTCCTTTATGGTGGATACCAATTGAGAACTATTTGATGCTTCTTCAATAACGTTAGGGACAATTGATGTAATACCAGGAACAACGGAATATTCCTCAGATTCCAAAGATATGGATGCCAATGCCTTGGCCATCTCAGTAGTAGCACCAACGTTATCGGATGCTGTATCGGATTTTATAGTATCAGAGGTAGAGGAACTGATTACTGATAAACCATTTGTTGCTGTAGTTGACGTATTTGAGGATGCTTGTGTTCCTAATGAAGATGTAGTGTTTACAGCGGTACCTGACAATGCACTGGCAACCATTGGGACCATCAAACCAGATGCAGTAATTCTGGATGATAATGGAGAGCTGATAGCACTTGATAAAGCCAAAATAGTGGATCTTCTTTCTTCTGTAGTTTCTAGATGACCAAATAAAGTACTCTTGTGAACATTTTTCTTGGTCCCAGCTTTCTTTGCATTCTTCTTTTGTTGTTCTTCTTGTTGCTTTATTTGTTGTTCTCTTTGCTGTTGTTTCTTCTCCCTCTTCAATTGAGCCTGTTGCTGTTGTTGTTCAATTGTAATACCGTTAGCTTGCTTCATAGCTGCTCTTTTTGCTGCTTTTTCTTGTTTTTTCAATTCTTTTAGTTCCTTATTAGATAACTTTTTATCCCCATCTGAGCTTTTACCAGCATCAGGAGTAGTTTTAGGCTTTTCATCCTTCTTAATAACAGCTGGTGCATCCTTTTGTTGTACCTGTTCTTGTTCTGACATCTCTCTTAGATTAAAAACTTCCGCCAATAAAAAAGATAGTTCAAATATATGTCAGGGATCAGCTTGGGGAGCGTATACAGATGCTGTGACTAAAGTAGAAAACAATCTCGAATTCCTGACTGTGGATATAATCTATTTTAATAGTATCGATATACTTTAAATATCAAATCAGTTGGTTAACTCATTGTGAAAAGCTTCACGATGGCCTTTACAAATTGAGAACGAAAGTACTTAAAAAAAAAAAGATTGAAAATTTATTTTTAAAAGGCGGGTAACCATATTGGACACATTATATCAAGACGCTAGTCATTTAAGTATTGATTGATTTTAATAAATATCAGATCACAGCTAATGCTGCCTTTGATGTAGGATATTTAATAACCTCTGATTAATATCTTTATTCTATAAAAATATTTAATATATGTACTTTATTATTTTTATTATTCCTTTAGATTTAATGTCTTTTATCTACTTTTAAATTTCTTGCTCTAATACGTTCTTGAGTAGTTAAAACCCAATTAATACTATTTGCTATTTCTTCTTTGACGTCATTTGATTCCTGGTTGAAATCATCATCGTCAAACCCAACAATTAATACTATTTGGGTTAGTGTAATGAATTTTTCTCTTAACATGTAGTTCATATCACATATAGTAGAAATAAATAGACTTAATTCACGATCTAATTTCGTGGCACCTAAATCGTTAACATGTAAAGTCCATATCTTTTGTTGAATCGTTTGAACAATATGGTTAACAATAAATGTTAATAACTCGGTGAATGCATCATCATACAAAACGTTTTGATATGGTATTATGAAAGATTTCCATTTTTGTATAAATTCATTGATTTTTGATAAATCTTCAAAACTGTCGGTTCCTGATATATATGTATTTTCATTCCCGTTTACAAATAAATTATTTGTCATTGTATTAATTTTTGGTTTAATAACATTTTCAAATAAATACTTAATTGACCATTTTTGTAATTTTTCATTTTGTGATTTGACTAAACTTTCACAGGCTTTGATTTTTTCAATTAATTCTTTTGCATCATTATTAAATGGGAAATTATCCTTCATCATTCTTGGATTATCTTCCAAGATTTCAACGGATAGAATTTTATGAATAAATACAACATTCAAATATAGAGTATTGACATATATCAAATAATGATGTAGAGATAGTACACCATCTTCATCAGATACAACGGCTTGGATATTAGATTGAATGTTTGTAAATGCACTAGCAGCTGCCCCTCTGAAATCAAATCCCAACTTTGATAATTTCGTACTAGAATAATCATGAGATAATAATGATGATGATTTTGATGATTGAGAAATATTAGTAGCAGCACCCTCGTCTTTAGGTGAATATAATTTTAAACTTAATGAAGCGTTTAACCTTTTCTGTAAAGTCTTAAATTTATTTTGTAAAAATTTAACCAAATATTGATTTTGAATAAACTTAGCTAACTGATCTAAGAAATGTGATAATAATGTGAATTGGCCTGTGTTGACAGTAACAATCAAATTTTTTCTAATCAATAGGATTAAGTCTTCCAAAACTGAAGATATTGGGTATGATGAAACTTCTTTATGTTTTCTCACTGTTGTTCTTTGTTGAATAATATCATTAATCGAAGGTAATTCTTCTATAGAAATTGAATTGTTAAATGATCTGTTCAAATGATAGAGAACGATAGTCTCAAATGAATTTAAAAATCCATCTTGTTGCAATTTTGCAGTAAATTGACCTTCTGAGATGGACGGTGGAATAGTCAATACGATTGTTTCTATATCATTAAATTCATTCCATCTAACCGAATAGAATCTGGAATACATTGACCAATTTTGTAGGATTTGTGAGAACTCGTTGATTAAAATTGAGATATCATTAATCGATATATCTGGAATATCACTGATTTCATTAGCTAAATCATCATCACTTTGGTAATTGTCATTTTGGTTGTAATTTAAGTTTTTCCTTCTCAATGAATCTCTCTGAGCAATCTTCTGTTGCAATTGATTCCATTCATTAATATCAGAAACTAGGTGGTTTAGATTCTTAGTCTCCATAAATATGTCTAATATTAATCCTGCTTGTAGATCAGCTTCTTTTTGAACTTTTTCCATTATATGAGACATGTGATGCTTACCATATGAACCAGCAATAATTTTTGAATGTTCGTTGATGATGGTTGAAACGATTTTAAATAAATGTAACAATACTTGAGAATAAAATCCGGGTCTCTTCAAAGATTCTTCTAGGTTATTGTTACCACTGGATGTCATTAATTTCCTACTTTCATCAGCGATGATATCACAAACATACTTTGAATACAATTCTAAACCTAGATCATTTTGACCAACCATAGGAAACATTTTAAACATTAAAGTCAATTCTTCAATATCCTGAGTTTTTGCAGCAGTATTGAATTTATCTTTAAATAATTGTGTTAATTCATCGCACCATCTATCTACTAAGATTGAAGGTTCATCAGGTATTTCACCTGATGGTACAACTTTTGAGGCAAATTTTGAATTAATTATCTTTGGTGGTAACTTTCTGATTTCATTTATGGATTTTGCTGCTAGTTCATAATTTTTTTCATTCAAAGCATAAAATATAATTGAAATATTATTTTTCAATATTTTTATATCAGATAGGAAAGATAAAGTTTTATTAACTAAATGTTTTTCATTATCAATCTTGGATATATCAAAATTAATATTTTTAGCTATATTATTTGAATTTGATACATTTGTCAATGAGTTATGATAGTTCGATAAAGTAGTAGTTAAATCAGTTCTTAATAATTCTAGTTTTCTAATTTTTTTATTATTCAAACTTTGTGAATCAATAATAAAAGTATTTAAATTTTGGATCTGCTGTTTAGAATCATCTAATAAAAGCTTCTGTAATTTACTAACTTGTGAATCCGTAGACAATTTATCCAATAATTGATTATATTTTGATAAATTTTTTGAAAGCTGGCCGTCAATTACACTGTTATACCAAGAGGTATCGTTATCCAAATAATCCATTGGTAGAAGCTGGTAGGATTGGTGAAGGAAGGAAAGACTAACAATCAAAAGTCCAATTGAGGGCAGCAATTACTGGATGTAACTAATCCACAATCTCTCTTGTATATATGCTGAGCTTTGATAATTAAGATATATTGACATAATTTCAAGATTTGATATGTGTTCAAAAAAGCATGTTAAATTGAAAGAGACAGATGGATAGTTATTACCCGGAAATATTAAAATTCAATATGTCACGTATGCAACTGATTATCGATATACAAAGCAATATGAGAAGTTGAAGATATGTTTGAAGTTTACTGATTTATTTGATTAGACATAAGAATTAAATTATACAATCATTAATACAGTTGATAAAAATCTAAATGGGGTTTCCTAATTAAATATGTTGTATATAAAATTGACCAAAAAAATTGACGAATTGTAAGATGATTTAAGGAGATAACGGGTGTTAAAGTAGAGAGTAGGAAAAGTGGATTAAGATGTAATCAATATTAGATTAAAACATAAAAGAACAAAATAACCTCCTAAAAGATAAATTAGGTACTATCAATAATGGATATAGACGATTTTTGAAACCAGTTAATCAATCGATTTAGGCTGTTACAGAATTAGCTTCTTCGTGAGATACTTGAGGTTCATCTTCTTGTTGTTCTTCTTCGATTTCTTCTTCATCTTCAACCCAGTTGTTTTCATCTTCATGATGGTGTTCTTCTTCATCATCATCTAGAACGTGGTCTTCATCATCTTCGTAGTCATCGTAGACAATATCTTCTTCGTGCTTGAAGGATAGAGTTGGTTTAACTTGAGCGGAGTCCAAAGTCCATTCATTCAAGGCTGATTCAGCATCGATGATGATTTGTTTAGAAGCTTCGTAACCGTCGTAAGCAGGTCTTGTTTCACCAGGAGTAACAGGGGAGTCATCTAATAATTCTAGTAAAGCCTTCCCGTAACCTGCGATCAAGGCGATTTTTTCAGAATGTTCAATGATTGAGTCGAATTGGTAGTTAAAAGCAGCTCTTAATTTTGATCTAGTGATGTTTGATAATTGAGCTTCAGCGACCAAAGATTCTGCTTCGGCACGGACTAATTCTTGTTCCAAGATTTCAATTTTTGGTGATTGTGGATCCTTGTATTTCAAGTACGCGATTTTATCTGTCAACTTAGCTTTTCTTTCTCTTGAAGGTTGTACTGAGCCTTCGATGTCTCTGATTGACTTCAAGGTCAATCTGTATTGATCGTATCTGTCGATGAATTGGTCATCCAATTCACTGACTTCGTAGATCAAGACACCCAATTTGTCGGTGATGTCTGAGACGTCGTCGTCGTTTTCTAGACCCCAGACGGATAGTTGGGTTGCGGCGTCTCTTCTTTCATTAGCGACGATTTCCATTGATCTCAAGACGTTCTTTTCAATTTTGACCAATTGAGACAATTTTCTTGATAATTCAGGGCCAAAAGCACCGGCGGTGTTTTTTCTGAAGGAGTAGGCGATACCACCTTTACCAAAGAATCTTGATTTAGTGGAAGAAGGAGGTGGAGGAGGGTTTTGTATTTGAGCAGCGGTTGGTGCTCTTGAGTTTCTCAAAGAATAAGTTCTGTGCATTGTGAATGATATATTATTATTAGGTGAAATTAGGTGAAATTAGTTCTTTTTTTTTCTATTATAGTAGTAGTTGATCTTGTTGTTATAATTATAACTTTCAGTTCAATTTAAAATCTTCTAGAATATTTGATACGGTGGGAGTTTGGAATAAGTGTGATCGATATATTACAATAATAACTGAGTGTTTAATATGTGATATAAAGGAATACACGTTGTAGATAGTATCTTGTTCTTCTTTTGCAAAAAAAATTGAGCCAGACAAAAAGGTGTATGCGGTGCACTGATGCGGGTGGATAAATCAATTAGGGAAAAAGGTAATACAATTGATTTAAGATATAATTTGAATATATGTGTAAGTATGTGTGTATATATACCCTTATTCTTAACAAAAGTGGAGTTATTAGGAGAAGAGGAAATTATAAAATCGAATTAAGAATAGGCAAATAAAAAAAATGTAATTTGAAATTGAAATTGAAATTGAAATTGAATCGAATTGAAAAGTATATATAACAAGAACAAAAATGAATGCGAAACGAAAAAGAGATAGGCCAACCAAAATGTACTAAAAATAAAGGAAAAACAATGGACAATCAAATATAATACCTCCCTTTTATATATAGAGAGAGAGTGCACCTTACGATATAAGATAATAATTAACAGCAAACCCAAAAAAATTTTTTTTTTTTTTAAATTTTCTTAAATTTTCTTAATTTCCAATTTCCAATATTTCCAAAACAGCATATAGAATATAGCATATAGAATATAGCATATATCATTATAGTATTTAGCTTAGCGTACATACATACATACATACATGGTATTATCCAAGGTATATAGAATACTAGCATAGCATAGCATAGCACAATAAAACAACAGTCTTTCGAAATACCCACCTACCCCCGCCTGCCACCAGCATTGTTAATTTTAGTTATCAGTGAAAGAATAAAGGTCTGTTCAAGTTAACCAGCCAGCAGTCTGATCGAAAGTTAGTGTGGTTTGTAGCGTACCATGCCATAGCGTTACGTTACGTTACGTTACGTTACGTTTCTCTCTGTTTGCCGTTCCGGTACGGGTGGAACCAGAAAAGAGAGCAACGGGGATGGGTGGGACGACAACGAACGAACGAACGAACGGACAGAAATAAAATAAAATAAAATAAAACAAAACGGTTGCAAGACCCAGACACAAGTTAGTGGGGGAACGTTGAAAGGAAGGGCAGGCTCACCAGCTAAAACTGAGGTTAATCTAAGACGAATCCCAGGTTTGGGACTTGGACTGGTGGTGAAGAGAAATGGAAAACAAATAAAAAATAAAAAATAAAAAATAAAAACAATAAACAGGCTGTGTACGTGCAATATACTCTGTCTGTCTGTCTGTTCCGCCGCCAAACATCCCCTCCCCGGCCCTCACCGCTTCTTTCTGAGTGCAAGTGTGAGTGGTGGTGGTGGGTTCTCTCTGTCTCTCCCTGGACGAACGAACAGTGGAACAAAATTAAACAGAAATGAATGCTCTGAAAATTAAAGCGAGATGACATGGAGTGAACTGAGCGGAGCACTGAACAAAAAATAAATTTGAGTGGGGAGACCCACGGCAGGTCGAGGAACCGGCCGTAGAGGAGGGGGGGAAGAAAAACAACAACAACAATATTAGCAACAACGGCAGCAGCAGCAGAAATATAATAATTTTGATATGTGTCCCCTTATCTGGCTTTGGTTTTGGTTTTGGTTTTGGTTTTGGCTCTCTCTGGTAATAAGCAGACAGCGCGAAGGTGTTGTGTCTGCTACGTCGTGATGTCTATGGAAAAACAAAGAATTCAGAATTCGAGTGGCTGGTGTTTTATTTTATTTTTTATTTTTTTTTTTTTTAATTTTTCTCTTGTTTTGTTTTCGTTTTCGTTTTCTTTAAAATGACGTACGTACGAGAGGATAACCGCTACGGGACAGGCCAACAAGGGAGAAAAGTTTCGTTGGTGTACCCACCAGAAGCAGACATTTACTTCGTGTCTCTCTGTATTATATCAGATATGTCACCCGGCCCACGCGAATTTTGCAGACATACTATCGTGTTCTACGCAGCCAACTCTCTTTTGCCATTTTTGCTGACTGGTCTCCCTTTTCAGCAATCATATAAACATCTCCCTCCCCTCTCTCCCTTTCCCAAGTGGTGTTGTTGGTGGTGGTTGTTTTGCGTATCAAGGGCCAGTACAAAACGCAATCGCAATCGCAATCGCAAACGCAACCACAACCACAACCACTTATTTTGGGTATGCTATGCTGTGTTATGTTATGTTAATGTAGTATTTTTTGAATCATTTTAGCTTTATTGTGTGTGTGTCAGGGGGGGATTGGGATATAAGTTGGTGAAGGGGGGGAGGGAAGGGAAGATACTTAAAACAAATCAACAAATTGAAACTGAACAAGGGCTAAAACAATTGCATAGCAGGTTAAGGTAATACAATAACAATGAAAGAATTAATAGAAATAAAAATGTGACTGTGTTTGTCTATTTCGCTACTTTGCAAACCAAATTGATAGATCAATAAAAAAAAAAAAAAAAAGAAAAAAAAAGAAAAAAGATTAACTTGAAATTCAAATAAATCAATATACAGACATGTGGTCAGGTGGTGTTGGTGTGTAACAGCAATGTAATGTAAAGGTTTGTTCTCGGCTTCTTGTATGTTTTCAATTTCATGGCGGCTAATTCTTTCTTTTCGACACCAGCCCTTTATATGACGCGATTCCTTTTTATTTTTGCTCTTTTATTACCCGGTACTTCTTCCTCTTTCTCTTTCTCTTTTTCGTTTTCGCTTTCTTGTCTTCTAATTAACAACTTACCCGGTTTTATATCATGTGATACAATTAACAGATGGATATCCATTTTTATTACCCGGCTTGAACATATCTTCAATTTTCGTCTAATTTTAAAAATAAAAAAAAAAAAGTCAACTTAATTTTACAAATAATTAATGGGTGGGTGGCAAACAAGTACAAGTACATATACAAATTCAATATAAAGGTTTAACAAGGTGTAATTGATTCCATCAAACCAACTCTATCAGATAAATAGAATACCAGAACCATATACATACATACAAGAAAAAAAGAATGGAGGAAAATTATATCGACACCACCGTAAGTAAAGTACCCGACTATGAAATATCTGAATTGGCTTTCGTGCTATCGCAACCAACTTTATCACATTTACATAATGACTCCAAATTATCTTTACTATCAAAAGTAGAATCCTTACATATGGCCCCTTACTATAAGTATTTAACTGATTCATATCTAAAAAATGTTTTGGTTTTTGACGATAACCTATACCAAAATTTGGTTAATGAAAATAATATTAAAATTAATGAATTAAAGGAAAATTTAATTAAAATTGATAAAAACGATGAAGGTGAGTTGGAACAAGCCCAAGCTTACATCAAATTAGGTGAATACTATGCCCAGATTGGAGACAAAGAGAATGCTATAGAAAATTTGGAAATCGCTATGTCAAAAGAAATCTCAACAGGTGCAAAAATCGATATAATGTTGACAATTACAAGATTGGGCTTCTTTTATAACGATTATATCTTTGTAAAAGAAAAATTAGACTTGATCAACTCAATGTTGGAAAAAGGTGGTGGTGATTGGGAAAGAAGAAATAGATATAAAACTTATAAAGGTATTTATTGTATGGCAACTAGGGACTTTGACGAAGCCGCTAATTTATTAGTAGATTCTTTAGCTACTTTCACTTCAAATGAGTTGATCTCTTATGAAAATTTAGCAACTTATGCTTCTGTAACAGGTCTATTCGTTTTACAAAGAACTGATTTAAAATTAAAAATTATAGATTCACCAGAATTATTATCTTTAATTTCTTCAAATACTGCATTACAAACAATTTCTTCATTAACAATTTCATTATATACTTGTGATTATTCAAGTTTTTTCCCATTCTTATTAGAGACTCATGAAAAAGTATTATTGCCATGTAAATACTTAAACAAACATGCGGATTATTTCATGAGAAAAATGAGAAGAAAAGTATATGAACAATTATTAGAATCTTATAAAACGTTATCTTTGAAATCAATGGCGAGTGCTTTCGGTGTTTCTGTTGAATTTTTGGATAATGATTTAGGAAAATTCATTCCAAATAAGCAATTAAACTGTATTATTGACAGAGTAAATGGTATTGTTGACACAAATAGACCTGATAATAAGAATTCGCAATATCATTTATTAATCAAACAAAGTGATGGTCTATTAACAAAATTACAAAAATATGGAACTGCAGTTAAATTAACAGGATCATCAGAAAGAGTAGCCTGATTAGTTACAATTGTATAATTTTTTAATTTTAAATTGATTAATTTCATTATATTAATTTACATACATTTTTGATTAACAATTCGATATAAATTGAAAAGTAAACTGTAGTAATAAAAATATAACCATTAGCCGATGTATGTGTGTATGTGTGTGTATGTCACGTGTATCTATTTCTAGATAATAGTTATGGAAAGAAAAAGGGATACCCAACATTAACAGAAAAGGATAAAAGCCAGAATCTTTTGCCTACAAAGAAATAAACAAGCAATTGATTTTATTACGTCAATAAGCTAACCGCTGAAATAAAAGAAAAAGTTAGTAAAAATAGGGCAGGACCAGACAAACCAGAATTTCTAATACATCCAGCCACAGGACACACACACACTCTCTCTCTCTCTTGAGAAAACAATAAAGAAACGTGTGCTCTCAATCGGCTCTCGTTGTTGATACGAACAGTTACAATTCATAATAACTTACCCCTCTATCTTCTAGTTGAATAAGAAAAATATTAATCCATAAAGGACCCCTAAATTTCTTTTTTCTCATCTTTTTTATTTCTATTTTGTCTTGATAATTACTATAGTTCCTGCCCCTCTTGTCTCTCTCTGTCCCCCTTTTTTCTCTCATTTGCGTCTCCCTTAAACGCGTGTATAAATCAAAAACAATACGTTAAATACTGATTTATTTATTTCCGTTATCTCCCACTAATATAATCCGCCCCCCTCCCCTTTCCCATCCCCAGCTCAATAATTTCATTCCCAAATTTATTCTTTCTCTGTTCTGGTATCCATCTCAAAAACTGAAAGTGGTATTATTATCGTGATATATTTCCGTTTTAATCGTTTTTATTCTTCCTCCTCTAATTTTCCCACCTTTTTTTTTTCTTTTCTTGCACACTTTTTGAGCAACAAACATTCGTCATAATAGATTCCACGGCTATTTTCTTTCCTATCTCAAAAATAGACTTATTTTCCGTTCGGTACCCTCCTCCGTGAGGTGACGGTCTTTGTCTTCGTATTATAATTGCGCCTCGGTAGTGTCTGTAGAAAAATACCTCGTTACATCAAGAAGGACCTTCATTTTTCTTAATGTGCTTTTTTTTTGGTTACTATACATAAGTCTGGCATCACTGCATTTTCGAGTCCGCCCGATTATTCGTATGATTTGGATGAATTTGTAATTATGAATTTTACTCGTCAGCATCTTTGAGATCTCGATTTAGTTAGTTGTCACTAATGTCATTGTTGATAAGGGATAATCTAAGATCTAACTATTCTTATCTATTTGCTTATTCAATAAAGTATTATAATGTAATGAAGTGAGCTTGCTGGAGCTTACTATCATAAATTTGCTCTCTTTTCTTTTATAATTCCTTTCTTGTGACAGCATGATGATAAATGAAATGATTATTTATCCTTCTATTCTATCTTAATTAGCTAAAATAGATTGTTTTCTACAACTACACTTAAAGAAAAGCAAGGATGTTGGGATGAGGATGACGGCACAGTGTCATCCTCATAATAGGTAATATTTTGATTATTCTTGTTATAATTAAAAGGTCAATAAACAGTTTCACTATTAATTCCTTCATTAATGAAAAAACAGAGCCATTAATTCACGGAAGCATATACCATTGAAAAAACAATGGTTTACCCGAACTCATTATCATACAATCTAAAACTTGTCATTTGATTGATAGCATATGATAGTTTTGATGTTTTTTTTATTTCACTCCGATAGAAAACTAATCGATTCTTGCGATTGTAATTCACTCGACTAACCTCTTACAGATTATCAATACACGCTTACCAGGAAACCGCCGTTTGCTCATATATCCAAGAAATTCTAGTATATCTTTCCATTTAATCACCATATATTTAAGAAATTGTTTTACGAGGCCCAGCCTCGTAAAACAATATTACATGGATAGTTTTGAGATACAATTCATTCTCTTACATGTCACAATTGCACTTCCAAATATACGACAATAAGGAAACCCTGACTTTGACTGATCTCTCAAAATTGCAATCTTAAAACCTAGCTGGGCCAAACAACAACTTATCGTTCGATTAACATTCGTAAGTATCCATTCTCATTGGCGAGAAACCCAAACTATAAAGAAAAAAAAGCATAATGTGAAAATTACATTCAATACTATAAAACTAAAAGAGGAGCTTGTCTTGTCATGTATCTTAAGAGGAAGAGAGTAGACTAAAACTAATTAACAGTAGTTTTTACTATTGTTAGACGTTATCCTCTACGAGCTGTTGTGGCTTAATGTCTCGGAATATTATACTATAGTCTGGTTACTAGGTCTGTACTAAATTCATATAATATTCCAATTGGAACCTTGCTACTTCATTTATTATAATATCCGATAAAATCTCAATTCTCCTGTTCAACAATTCAACTCTGATTCGTTTGTGTGTCTCTCTACTTTGTTAAAATTGTTTTAGATACTTTCCGGATGGTTAGCTTATTCCACAAGAGCACAGCTAATTCCGAATCTATTGTAACGTAAATTAATCTTCGGTTTTATTCTCTCAATGGATTTTGTTTTAACTCTTATCCTTTTTTTTAAAGAAAACCCATTGAGATTGTACAAAAGTTTCTCTAAATTTAATTACTTAATAGACGATAATTATAGACCGTTAGACTAAAATGTAGAAGACTATTCAATATTGTTACAAGAGGAGGCACCTTTAACCGATTTCATACTCGAAAAAAAATATATATCAAATACCTAAAAAATATCAAATACCTAAAAAATTGAAAAATTCTGTTTAATCTGATTCGTTTGGTGATCAAGTTTTCATTATCACTACAAATATCTCTAGTGTTTTATTAGAAGCGTAGAATATAAAACTGTCCAACCAAAATGCTCATGCCCCTGGTTTAACTTTATACGTACTTCAACAAAAAGCGTCCTCGTTCCTCGTTGACTACATCTAAATCTGAGCGATTTCTGCTCGGCATAATTAACAAATGACTGTATAATAATAACTATTAGTAACTTAAACAAACAAAAAAGCTAACTTGTAGAACAATTCCACTAACGAAAAAAATAAAAAATCTAGCTTCTTCACTTCCTCGCTCTTCTTCTCATCTTGAATCTCTAACCTCTATGAAAGAGTACTTCCGAGCTTATACATTATCAATATTTTTTTAGACTTAGTTAATACGACCACTCATCTAGCCATCTCTTAATAATCCAATGCAGTAAATAATTCAATTTTCATTCAGCTAAAAAGTACGATTATTTTTTTTTATGCATTGAATTAACTATATCCATCTCAGTTTCTTCCTCTACTCCCCACCACTGCGATGCATTAGAAGCAAAACCTTTATTTTTTTTTTGTTTTCGATTTCAAGTTTTGTCTGGTAAAATTAATTACCGACTCTATTGCTTCTCTACTTCAATTGCACTGGCAAAGCATTGCGTAAGTACTACGTTCTTCTGAAATTATTTTATCTTCATCCATTGGCTTTCTTTTTCAATTGGGTCTGGCTTCAGACCATAAACTTATTAAGCAAAAAATAACGATTTGAAATATTATTTTTTAGTCCTTTTAGCTTTTCGGTTTCTGAAATGTATTGCATTTATGTTCAATTGCTACGACAGAGACTAACAGCTTGTTGTAGTTTTACATACTTTGTCTACATATTACCAACATAATTTTAATTGTGCTTTACAAAGTTTCCTTGTCTCAATGGTTCTAGGCACAAAATAAGCCAAATCGAAATTATGTTAAAATTCATGATTTCATCATGAAAAAGGATGTGAAGGCTAAATTAATCCTGATTCGTAAGATGCTTTAACAACGTTTTTGCTGGACTCCACAGTTGGAAGGGTAGGGGGAAAGCCAAAGGCAATTAAATTTAAATTTATATAATTTATAATATTTTTAGTATATACAAAATTTTGTTAAACTCTTTGTCTCTCTCCAGTCCTTTCTGTCTATGAAATATTCCATACTTACACACACTATTTCTTTCAGGCTTTTTTATACCTCAAACTATTAAGGTATTCAACTTCCTGCAATGCTCTATTACTATCGATGTTGGATTAGAATAAATAATAAAAATGTCTAAATAATATTAATTTCGAAATTATGAATTAATCAAAAAAAAAATCATATATATAACCGTAAAATTTTGAACAATAAGAAACTTTGAACTTTTTTCCAATTATCATTTTTCCCTTTTTTTAATTCAATTCTTAATTTCCTTTATTGCAAATAAAACCAATAAGAATTTATAATTCTTTTTAATAAATTAAAAAATGTCTAACAATAACAACTCACCATTAGCCTACTCCGGTGCTAACGGTTTTTCTTACAGTCATCACCCATATGGTGCTAGATTGTCTAGACCACAAGGTCCAATTTTGTTGCAAGATACCAACTTGATTGAATCCATCAGTCACTTTGACAGAGAAAGAATTCCAGAAAGAGTTGTCCACGCTAAGGGTGGTGGTGCTAGATTCGAATTCGAATTGACCGATTCTTTGAGTGACATTACTTTTGCCGCTCCATACCAAACTGTTGGTTACAAATGTCCAGGTATGATCCGTGTTTCTACCGTTGGTGGTGAATCCGGTACTCCAGATACCGCCAGAGATCCAAGAGGTTTCTCTTTCAAGTTCTACACTGAATGGGGTAACCACGATTGGGTTTTCAACAACACTCCAATCTTCTTCATCAGAGATGGTAACAAGTTCCCACATTTCATTCACACCCAAAAGCGTAACCCACAAACTCACTTGAACAACGGTGAAGACTCTAACATGTTCTGGGATTACTTAGTTCAAAACCCAGAATCTATCCATCAAATCACTTATATGTTCGGTCCAAGAGGTACTCCAGCTTCCTGGGCTAGTATGAACGCTTACTCTGGTCACACCTTCAAGATGATTAACGAACAAGGTGACTTGACTTATGTTCAATTCCATGTCTTATCTGACACTGGTTTCGAAACTTTGACCTCTGTTGAAGCTTCTAAATTAAGTGGTGAAAAACCAGATTACAACTTTGACAAGTTATTCAAGCAATTGAAGAATGGTGAAAAACTAACCTACTCTTGTTATGTTCAAACCATGACTCCAAAACAAGCTGAAGAATTTAGATACTCCGTTAACGATTTGACTAAGGTTTGGCCACATGCTCAATTCCCATTGAGAAAATTCGGTAAGATTACTTTGACTGAAAACATTGACAACTACTTCGCTGAAATTGAACAAATTGCTTTCTCTCCATCTAACACTTGTATCCCAGGTATCGAACCATCTAACGATAACGTTTTACAAACAAGATTGTACTCATACCCAGATACTCAACGTCACAGATTAGGTGCTAACTTCACCCAATTACCAATCAATAGACCAAGAAACTTGAATTTGAACAATGAATCTCCAAATGCTCCATTCTACGATGCTCCAATGAAGTGTCCATATGCTGCTACCAACTTCCAAAGAGATGGTCCAATGCAAATGTACAACCAAGGTTCCTTGCCAAACTACATTTCCAATCAAGCTAATGCTAAGATTCAATTCAAGGATTTGACTACTTCTCAATTGTACGCTAACAAGTTCAAGGGTTTGGTTTTGGATGTTGATGAACAAACTTACATTCAACAACAAGAAGCTGAAAGAACCAGACACGAAAATGCCATTGACGCTAAACTAAATGATTACTATACTATTAACGGTATCTCTCCATTAGATTTCGAACAACCAAGAGCTTTGTACGAAAAGGTCTTTGATGATTCTTCCAGAAGAGCTTTCATCGAAAACGTTGTTGCTCATGCTTCCAACGCTGGTAACGATGAATTGAAATTGAGAGTTGCTCAATACTTTGGTTTGTTGAACCAAGACTTGGGTGCCAAGCTAGCTTTGGGTTTGGGTGTCCAATGGGTCCCAGTTGATTTGGAAGGTTACGCTAATGCCATCGGTATTTCTTCTCCATTCTAAGCTTGTGAATTAGTTAATCATGGAATAAACCAGATGAATCAAATAAATCTTTTATGAACAATTATTTACTTAAGACTATTTTTAATTTATCATAGTATTTAAATATTTATTATAAGTCTTCTATTCGGTTAGATAAAATAGTTATTTTAGCAGATTTCTTTAAAAAAAAGTGGAATCAGTTAAATCAACATTAGTTGATTTCGATTTTATTATATAGAAGGATTTGAAAGAACTCTGATTTGTATATATGATACTACTCCGATTTAATTACTATGTTAATATGAAAATTTTGTTGTTTTATTATAAAATAACTTCCTATATGCCGATTCTTCGAATATAATTTGAAGTGTCAGCATCGATAACCTTGGAATGTACTTAGTAGGGAGGCAAGTAAGTGGGAAAAGATAATTTCAGATTTTAAAGAATTACTATTGCTTTTTATTTAAATTATAGATACTATTTCATTTCATTTAATAATCAGATAATAGCATATTGTATTTCTATTAAATAAAATACAATGAATAGTTTATTTGTAGAGGAAAAATTAACTTACATTGATATAATTTTCACCTTGGAATGTTTTTTTCGTGTTACTAATGATCTTTATAATATTGTCTAAAGGGTTTACTATCGATCAAATTAAAATTTTATAAGCATTAATAGAGGCCATAATAATTATTAACAACCATTCAGGCTCATATGGGTGCAGCAAATATCTTTGTAACAATATATAGTGACAGAAATTGTGGGTGCACGTTGGTTACCAATTACACAGAAGGCAATTGGACACAGCATTTGATGGATTACAAACAAGATACCTAGAAATTGATTACTAATTCTGCGGATATTAATAAAAAATGTTCAGAATATTTGGCATGTAACTATGTACCACATATCCAACGACAGTATTTAGATTTATTTTATGAATATTATGTAACTTAGATTTTGTTCATGATGGAGGTAATGAGGGATTTCTGTATATCAATGCTCCAACTGCTAATTAAAAGGGTTAATATGGACTCTTAAGGGAAAATAATGAAGCTATAGTGTTTTCATTTCTATATAGAAGTAATAGCTGCCCTCGAATCAGTTAAGTGCACACTTCAACCAAGATTTTGCCTCCTTAGCTTAGTGGTAGAGCGTTGCACTTGTAATGCAAAGGTCGCTAGTTCAATTCTGGCAGGTGGCATTTGATTTTTTTAAACAATTACTTTTTGTTTTTCTCCACTACTAATTATAGTGAAAAAAGAACGTAAATATTTACTAACCACACCTCACTTGGTCAATAAATTACATATTGCAGAGCTAGATGATTTAATATTTA